AGAGCCCTATTCTTAAAGACCAAAGAAAACTTAGCACAAGATATATTGTTGACTCCCCTCTCTTGAGTTTAGTAATCAAGGATTCCCTTCTACTCTCAACTCTCTGCTGCCCCCAGCAGGCCTTTGACCTTGTTGCCTTTGCCATTTGACCTATCTAACCCAGAGGTGGGTTCCAGAGAGAGAAAGAAGACCTTGTGATCTGAGATTTTGTGTCAAGGCTCTGTGGTTTGAAATTTTGTGTCAAATTATTATTTTTTTTGCCGGTTGTGGGGCTTGAACTCGGCCTGGGCACTGTCCCTCAGCTCTTCAGCTCAAGGCAAGCGCTCTACCATGTGAGCCACAGCGCCATTTCCAGTTTTCTGAGAAGTGGAGATAAGAGTCTCATGGCTTTCCTGCCCCGGCTGGCTTTGCACTGTGATCCTCAGATCTCAGCGTCCTTAGTAGCTAGGATTACAGGTGTGAGCCACCAACACCCAGCAGGTCAAATTATTTTTATGTTCTGTCATTAATGTTTGTTCTGGTATTGGGAAGTGTTTTGTTTCTAACTGACTTTCAATCATTGTAGGCATATTCTATGACCTTTCTTCTTGGCACATCAACTGTCTTTCTTCTGTTTAAAGTCACATGGCTATGAAGTAGGTCTGTCAGCTGTTTTGGTAAAGACAGAATGGTTTAATTTTGAGCATGTGAAATTTGGAATAAGAGTACTGTGGATTTTAATCCTAATACAAAGGACAACATGTAATATACTAGGCAAACAAAAGTGACTCATAGATGATTTGCAGCACTGATTTTCTTTTCCTTTCTTGTGGAGTCTTTTCACTTTGAGGAAGATAGTCACAGAATCAGCTTTCTTGCTCTAGGAAGTAACAGTCGCTGTGTGGGAGACATTTATAATCTACTTTGTCCTTTTGTTAATCTCCCCTCCATCTTCCTCAGGCTGTAGTCTCTCAGATGCAGGATTAATCAGTAAGGTAGGCAATCATGTTCTCCCATCACTGACTAAAGAGGTCTTCCCTGCCAGCAAGCTCATTTCCTCAGACTGTGAGCTATAACCCTTGTGAAAACTAGGCAGCCTGCCATGCCCTGTTAAATAACACCAGTCCTGAGAGGGCTTCTTGGAATAAGGTTCTAGTTTCTAAACATAATAGTCAAATATTATTAGTAACTATTAGTGACATCACAGTACAAGACAGGACTTGATCTCCTATGCCATCATTTTCCTTTTATTGGCTCAGAGAGGTTGAAGTAACTTGCTCAAGGCCATATAGCTATCAGTGGTCAAAGGTGAGATTCGAAACAAGTTCCACTGGACACAGTTTGTGTTTGTAAGGATTGTGTTCCACTGTCTCTACAAAGCAAGGGGTTCCAAAAACCAATCAGTGGGTGGATAGCACCTACAGAGCTGTAGATCTTCTTGGGCCTGTGCAAGCATTTGCCTGGCAAATGCTTGGGAGCCCTAGGGGAGACCATAAAGGACAAATTGAAGGCCAGTTTTAACTGTGACACCATAAAATTAATAATGTCAGATCATAGCCTTTTGTCTGTGGCTGTTCCAGTGTTGATGGATAGGTTACATGTTGAAAGATTGCATCGGTAATTCATACTTTATTACTCTTGAATTGGTGTAATGCTTCAAATCATCTTGTTGTAATTCAACATAATTATCTATAATTAAAAATAAATTCCTGTAGGGTGAGAATATTAATTCCTATCCCAATCCTTTTTTCTTTCAATTGTGCCTGTGAACCATTACCCAGCTTTTATGCAATGGTCCTGGGCACTTCTGGTGAGCTAACTTTGCTCTATCTAACATAATTTTACTTTCTGAACCACTGTGTTCTCTCTCTCTCTCTCTCTCTCTCTCTCTCTCTTTCTCTCTCCCCCTCTCTCTATCTCTGTCTCTCTCCTCTCTCTCCCTCCCTTTCTCTCTCTCTTAAGCACACACATACACACCAGCATTTCTCTAGCTATTTTGACTTATTTGATGTTGCTAAAAATATTGGTTTTTGTTTTCTTGATTGGTTGGCTTAATTTCTGATGGGGTCTAGGAAACCTATTCTAGGGGGGAAAATCACACAGGCACATGCTCTTACACAGATTGTGAGTGTAATTTTAGGCATGGAATCTGGCACTGGGCTTCTCCCAGGGTGGTATCCTCTGGCCCCCAGAAAGAAGGTTCATATTGCTAGAAATTTGTTAGAAAAGCACATCCTTGAGCCCTTTTGAAGGAAAGACTTGTGCTGAGGGTGAGCAATCTGGATTTTTAACTAGACCTCTAAAAGATTGGGTATCTGGATGCTTGAAACTTTGGAGGAGTTAGGAATCCTGCCCTAGCAGGATGGTCTTGAGCGTTCTGTAATAACTCCAGCCCTTCTGAGAAAAGGATGGGTAATGGATCCCTTCCAGCTCTGAACCTGTTACTTTCACTGGATGTTAACACCTGCTTCCATTTCAGACCAAGGATCCATTTGCTCCCCTGGGAACAAAGAGGAGGCTGCTGGTGTTATCACTTTCCAGGTGCAAGGGTGGAAAACCAGCTGGGGATACCCCCAAGGAAATGCTCCCAGATGTCTGGGACTATTGAAGATTCAGGAGGGGATAGGAGTGGTCACATACCTGTACTTCAGTGACTTTCCAGCCCACCTGTCCTTGCCCGGGAGTCATCCTTTCCCTTAGGTAAAGGTGCTCTCGCTAGACGCTCTCATTACCACAAAGCAGACACTGAGTCTGATTCTAGAGATCTCAATTTGTACTTGAACTCTCAAGAGGCCAACTATCAGTCAGTGTTTAAGCTTTTACCAGTAAGAAATTTCATTTCTCAGATAATTTTAATTAGCATTGGCATGTTAGCTATATCTCATTTACATATCTGTCTGCTTATTTTGTTTAGTCATTATTTTATTTTATTTTGTTGAACCAGTCCGGAGTTTGAACTCAGGACCTGGGCACTATCCCTGTGCTTCTGTCTTTAAGGCTAGTGCTCTCTCCCTTGAGTCACAGCTCTATGTCTGGCTTTTGTCATAATGTATTGGAAATAAGAATCTCAGGGACTTTTCTGCCAGGCTGGCTTTGAATCAGGATCCTCAGATCTCAGCCTCCAGCAACTAGGATTATAATGGCATACATTTTTACATTTTATTATGTGAGATTTATAAAGAAGTTTTCATCTAAGACTGATTCTGTCTCGAGTCAATGTTTGGACACACAGAATTTTCTGCCCTCATTGGCTGTTGTTGTGTAACCTCCACATGGACCTGCTCTGTGAGTACTTATTTAAAAAAACAAAAACAAAAACCTAAAGTAAAACACTCTATATTTAGCCAAATAAATTGTATTGAATTTTGAAAGCAGAACACAGAAATCTGGCCTGAGAATTACCAGGGGCAACTTTGCATCCTAATGTGATCATATAGTGGAACTATCTACCCTTTCGTCTCTCCTTCTGCAAAGAGAGGAGTGTCTTGTTTTGTCTGGAAAGTGTGAAGAAACTCCAGCAACTTGTTTCTGCCTAGACAAAAATGTGTTCTGTTTAATCCCTGCTTGTTGTGAAGGATTGTTAGGATGAATACTTAAATGATTACACTGTGTAGCCACAGTGTAACCATGTGGTTGCTTTGCTTATTCTTAGGCTGAAGTATTTGGTTTTGTGAAGGGTCTGCTTTGCACTTTACAATCCACCTTTCTTTTCTTTTTCTTTTTCCCTTCTTTTTTTCTTTGTCAGTTGTGGGGCCTGAACTCTGGGCCTATGTGCTCTACCACTTGAACCACAGCGCCACTTCCAGTTTTCTGGTGGTTTATTGGAGATAAGAGTCTCATGGACTTTCCTGCCTGGGCTGGCTTTGAACCATGATGCTCAGATCTCAGCCTCCTGAGTAGCTGGAACTACAGGCATGAGCTACAGCGGCCCGCTTTTCTTTTTCTTGAGGAAAAAAGATCCTATGCTTGGGACTGTGCTTTTTTTTTTTTTTGCAATAGGACTATTTTCTATTACAAGTTAGCTTGCCAGCCTTTATGACACTCCTGATGGTTCTTTATATCTAAAGGTATGTTATTTTGTGCAAAATTTCTGAATTTTTTTTTTTGGACCCGTGGCTTGAACTCTAGGCCTGGGCGGTGTCCCTCAGCTCCTCAGCTCAAGGCAGGTAATCTACCACATGAGCCACAGCACCACTTTCAGTTTTCTGAGTGGTTTATTGGAGATAAGAGTTTCATGGACTTTTGTGCCCAGGCTGGCTTTGAACTGGGATCCTCAGATCTCAGCCTCCTGAGTAGCTAGGAGTACAGGCACGAGCCATCAGCACCTGGCTGAATTCTTTTATATAAGATCAGAGATGAATATCTTTTATTTATTCAATAAATGTGACATGCAGGTAATACATTAAAAATATATATCATAATTAGTGGAAGCTTTAATCAATTAAAATAACCCAAAACAAAATTTGAACAATAGATCTTATTTATTATCCAATCTGCTATTCTTCTTTTGATTAGAGAATTGAGTACATTAATATTTAGGTTTATCGTAGAGAAATGTGTCATGTTTCCTGCCATTTTCTTAATTTCCTATATTTTGTTTTTATCCTTTTCCTGTGTTTCCTAAATTGATCTTCTAGTGATTTTTGTCTGATGTGGTTCTTTGATTTTTGACTGTTTTCTTCAGATTGTATTCCTCCCTTTAGAATTCTTTGTAATGCTGATTTAGTGATCATGAATTCTTCTAATTTTTGTTTGTCATGGAAGGTTTTGGATCTACCCTCTAATGTAAATGATAGTTTTGCTGTGTAGATCAGTTGGGTTGGTAATTGTTGATCTTCAGTGCTTAGAGTATACAATTCCAGGCTCTCCTTGTGTGGAGAGGTCTGCAGTGATTCTGATTTTCTTTCCATTTTAATATAGCTCCTTCTTTAATTTTGTGGCTTTTAAAGTCAGTTCCTTGCTATTCATGTCTGATGTTTGTAGGGATGTGTCTAGAAGTGCTCCTTCTTGGATCCAGTATACTGGGGGTTCTATACGTTTATGTTAAGCAGGTGAGATTTTCTCTCTTAAGAATGGTGAGATGGTGCACATATGAGGGAACCTAGGAGGAGGGCACAAAATCAGAGGGAAACTGGTGAAAAAACAGAGCAGAGGGGTCCATCAGCTGCATTGGACATTGATTAAAGTGAATTAAGCAACTCAAGGGCAGCAATGGGAGGGAGGGAATGAGAGAGAAAGAGGGAACAGCTTACGCTAAGCAAATGAAAGAAATATACATATCACCCTCTTTGGAAGAAATAGTTGTATTGTCAAAGTTTGTAGAGTTTATAAGCTTTATGGACCATGATAATGACAATTCACCTTGTGAAGGTTTAAATGTGTTTGTGACTTAGCTAAGTATCACTATCTCACAACATTGTGAAGTTCATGTCATCACTTAATTTCAATAAAGAAAGAAAAAAAGTGTGGAAGTACTCAGCTACTTTTTTCTGAACAGGTTGTCAAGGCCTCTACTATTAAATTCTTCCCCCTCATCCATCCCAATTATGTGTAGGACGGAGGAGCTAGAACAAAAAGTCATAAGTATGGAAAAAACACTCAGAACCTATGAAAGAGAAGTCCAGAAGTTGGCAAATGCAGCTAAGAAATCAAACCTATAGTCCAGCTTTCTATGTCAATCTCATCTCTGGATTTTTTCCCTCTCTGTCTCTCTCTGACTTCCTTATTTGCCCATTTCCTCTTGGGACACTAAAGCTAGGGGTTGGGTGCTAGTTTGTACCCTAACAAAAATGGCAGCCTCCTTAGACTTCGCCTTTCCCTATTATGATTCATAGCCTTGTTCACTGAGCAGATGAGGTCAGAATATTTTCTATTTTCCTGCAAGACCTGGAAGAAATATTAGTCAGTTCTTTTTCTTTCTTTCTCTGAATCTCCTTCCCTATTTAAGCATTGGTTGGTGTCTCAGTCACTTCCTAGTATATTCTCAGTCACTAACTAATGACCACGGTTATATCCCTAACTGCCTGGCTCATCTAGGCTTCGAAGACTACAGTAACTAGTGGTCAGCAAAGCACTGTACCCACCACAAAATTCCCTCCACTTCCCAAGGTAACTCATTAGACCAGGGGCAAGCAACTCACCCATGGGCAGAAACTCAAAGGAATCAAATGTCTACCTGGTTCATAGCATATGAGGTAACCTGACACCAAAAAGCAGTGTTCTAGTCTGGTCAGAAAATGATTAACTAGGCCTGACAGAATTCTTCGAGGAAACTCATTTACAGATGTGGAAAAATGCCACTAGTAGCTGAAGTCAAGCTCAAGAAGGAAGGTGTATGGACCATTGGAAGCTGACAGTAATGAAGGATTTTTTTTAGGAACAAGCATTAGGTAGAAAGCATCTGGATTTCTAGAGATACTAGGTGGATAATTAGGTTGGTGGGTATGTTCCATATCCAGTTCTATTGGGGATCTAAGAATGGACTTTTCCTTTGCATTCAATAAAGGCCAAAGACTCATAATTCAGAATACTTACTTTGGTATGTGTTGACAAATGCTTCTCCATCCACCATGTTCCCCACACCATACCCCCTTCCCCAGGAAAACACCATACAAATCTCTGTTCCATGTCAAGTCTGTCTCCAGTTCAATTGAGACAGGCAACCTCACGTATGACCATTTTGGCCTCAGGATCCCATGTGATGGATGTGGTAGAATAGAATAGAAGAGTCAGTGTGGGGAGACATACAGTTTCTACCTCAATGTGTCTGGTTTGGCTCCCATGTATTTATTATAAAAGAAATTGAGCTAATTCCTAATGCATGAAAAAAAGATTTCCTCTACAGGCCTCTGGCTATCTAGGTTCTTTTGAAAACCCTGACTCTTCTCTGACAGCATTGGGGATCCTCTCCCTTGCCTGTACTCACTAGTCAGAGCTGCACTGGAGCCAGTCGACCCCTTTTATTTGAATGTAGCCTTTACTTTATTCCCTCCCTGGCTTTTCGTAGTCACATAGAAAGCTTATCTTACACCCTGAAGCCATTTGAACATAGAACAGTTAGACATTATTTAAATGTCTATGTGAAAAATGAACTATGTAACTTGTGGGCAGGATGGAAGGAGGAAACTAAGGGAAAGCACAGGAAGCAGTGACACTGTCCATAAAAAAAGAAACGTACTCATTACTGGATTTATGAATTGGTAAGCCCTTTAACACCTTAATAATCACAATAAAATTACATTAAGAATAAGAAGTTATTTAAGAGGTGCTTAAGATGGGACCCAGTACAGGTACCACTGAATTTGATAAGACAAGAATCTGTTCCCTTCGGTGAAGCCAACATGAAAGGAAAGAATAAAGAAAATGATCATAGTGATGTTGGATATTAGAAATTCAAAGTTCTGACCCATGAGTTGCAGGAGAGAGGTGGGGCAGTTTTAGAAATGTAAAGCAATGTCTGTTAATAGTCACATCAGAGACCTATGAAAGAGGGTTGAAAAAGAAAGTGAAGCTGCTGATAAAGAAGAGAAAATAAATGTCCAAAAGGCAGTATATATCTATGAGAATCCTTAAGGAAATGAAGAAATTTAATTACATATAGGCAGTTAGCTTTCCAGTGTTAGAGAAAACACATGGTGCTCCCCAGAAATTTCTGAACTTTTTTGTCCATTTTTTAGTTTTTGTCTCTTAAAGCTGTCAGGGAGAAAAGATCAATCACCTAAAAAACCAATCAGGATAACTACAAATTTCTTAGCCAAGACCATGAAAGCAAGAAGAGCCTGGAATAAAATATGTCATGCCCTAAAGACAAACAATTATCAACCAAAAATAGAGTACCCAGCTAACTCTCCTTCATAACTGAGGGAAAAATAAAAACCTTCCACAGCAAAGAAAAACTGAAACAATATGTCTCCACCAAACCGACACTACAAAAGATACGTCAAGATTTCCTACACATAGAGAACCAACTAGAACCTGATGAAGACAGAGAAACATCCCCCAAACAATCAATCAGTAAACATAGGCAGAACCTAGGTGACACAGCCCCCAAGAATGTGGATAACATGGCAGGAGCTACCAAACACCTATGAATCCTAACTCTCAATATTAATGAACTTAACTCTCCAATCAAACGACATAGAATCTCTAAAAAAAAAACCATGATCTGTCTATCTGCTGTCTTCAAAAAACTCACATTCCCTACAAAAACAAACATGTTCTGACAGTGAAAGCTGGAATAAAACCTACCAGGCAAACAGCCTCCATAAGCAGGCTGGAGTAGCAATCCTAATATCAGATAAAATAGACTTCAAATTAAAATTAGTGAGAAGAAATAAAGAAGAACACTACAAACTAATAAAAGGATCTTTCTCACAGGAGGATATAACAATTCTAAATATCTATTCACCAAATACCAGAGCACCCAAATTTATCCAAGAAACATACTTTCCCTCAAATCTCACATAGATCCAAAGACATTGATTATTGGTGACTTTAACACCACTTTCCCCACTGGATAGATAAACTTGGCAAAAACTCAACAGAGAAACAACAAATCTAAATAAATGCCTAGACCAATTAGACTTAACAGATGTTTATAGGATATTTCACCCATCAGCAACAGAATACACATTCTTCTCAGCAGCACATGTAATGTTCTCCAAAATAGACCACATTTTAGATCACAAAGCCAATCTCTCCAAATACAGAAACACTGAAATTATGCCCTGCATTCTCTCAGACCACAAGGGAATAAAATTAGAATTCAACAACAAATGCCACCAAAGAAAATCCTGTAACACATGGAGGCTGAACAACACACTATTGAACCATGGAAGAGATTAGAAAGGAAATTCCAATGTTCATGATATTTAAACAAAAATGAACATATAAATTACCAATTCCTCTGGGACACAGCAAAGGCAGTACTCAGAGGAAAATTCATAGCTCTGAGTTCTTACATCAATAAATTGGAGAGATCTGAAACCAACAATTTAATGATGCACCTGAAGCTCCTTGAAAAAGAGTAGCAAGCCAAACCCCAGTTCAGTAGACAGAAACAAATAATTAAAATTAAATCAGAATTAAGTGAATTAGATTCCAAAAAAACCATAGAAAGAATCAACAAAACAAAGAGTTGGTTCTTCAAAAACAAACTTGACAAACCCTTAGCAAATCTTACCAGACAAAGAAGAGAACATACCCAAATAAGCAAACTCAGAGATGAGAATGGAAACATCACCACAGAAACAACCAAGACTCAGAACATTATAAGGAAATACTTCTCAAAAATTTATGTTAATATTTTTGAGAATCTGAATGAAATGGAAAAATTTCTAGCAAATACTGATATGCCCAAATTAAACCAAGATGAGTTAAATCAATTTAACAGACCCATATCAAACATCGAAGTAGAAACAGCAATAAGAGACCTCCCATCCAAGAAAAGCCCAGGACCAGATGGGTTCACTGCTGAATTCTACAAGGCCTTCAAAGCAGAACTCACACAAATACTCCTCCAACTCTTCAATGAAATTGAAAATGAAAATTCACTACCAAACTCCTTCAATGAAGGCATCATAACCCTCATCCCAAAACTAGGCAGGGATTCATCAAAGAAAGGATACTATAGACACATTTCTTTGACGAACATCGATGCAAAACTTCTCGACAAAATTCTGGTCAATTGACTTCAAAAAATAATAAAAAAAACATACACCATGATCAAACAGGATTTATTACAGGGATACAAAGCTGGTTCAATAGATACAAATCAATTAAAGTAATACATCACATCAACAAGAGCAAGGATAATAACCACCACATGATTATCTCAATAGATGCAGAAAAAGCATTTGATAAGATCAAACACCCCTTTATGATGAAAGCTCTGGAGAAGCTAGGAATCCAGGGAATATTTCTGAATACAATAAAGGCTGTGTATGACAAACATACAGCCAGCATTATACTTAATGGCAAAAACTAAAGCAGTTTCCTCTAAACTCAGGAACAAGACAAGGATGTCCACTCTCTCCACTCTTCTTCAATTCAGTATTAGAATGCTGAGCTAGAGCAATAAGATAACGTGCAAACATAAAGGGGATCCAAATAGGAAAAGATGAGGTAAAACGCTCCCATTTTGCAGATGACATGATCTTGTACTTAAAGCACTCCATGGACTCCACTCCCAAGTTACTTGAGCTGATTCAAAACTTTGGCAAAGTAGCAGGGTATAAAATTAACCCTCAAAAATCAATGGCTTTCCTGTATGCCAATAATGAGAAGAGCACAGCTGAAATCAGGACAGCAACTCCTTTTGTAATAGTCCCACAAAAAATAAAATACCTAGGAATTAACTAAAGAAGTGAAGGACCTCTATGATGAAGACTTTAAAAACCTGAAAAAGGAAATTAAAGGAGAACTAAAGAAGTGGAAAAACTTCCCATGCTTCTAGATAGGGAGGATTAACATCATGAAAATGGCAATACTGCCAAAGGCTATCACAAATTCAATGCAATACCCATTAATATGCCAACCTCATTCTTCAATGAAATAGAAGAAGCAATCCAAAAATTCACATGGAACAATAAAAGACCCCGAATAGCAATAAATAATCCTTAGCAGAAAGAACAGTGCTGGAGGAATAACAATACCAAACTTCAAATTCAGCTACAAGGCCATTGTAATCCAACAGCTTGGTGGCACAAGAACAGACCTGAAGACCACAGGAATAGAACTGAAGACCCAGAACTGAGCTTGCAGACCTATAGCCACCTAATCGTTGATAAGGGAACCAACAAAATAGGATGGAAGAAAGACAGCCTCTTCAGTAAATGGTGCTGGCAAAATTGGTTATTCACCTGTAGAAAACTAAAGCTAGATCTTTATTTATTACCCTGTACCAGTCTCAACTCCAACTGAATCAAAGACCACGGAGTAAAAGCAGACACCCATAAAACATTACAGGAAGGAATAGGAGAAACTCTAGGGCTCCTTAGCACAGGCCAAAATTTTCTTAATAAAGACCCAGAAACACAACAAATCAAAGAAAGGTTGGACAAATGGGATTGCATGAAATTGTAGAGCTTCTGCATGGCAAAGGACATAGCTAACAAGATCAATAAAAAGTCCGCAGACAGGGAGAAGATCTTCACTAGCCATACAACTGACAAGGGTCTCATATCTAAAATATACTTAGAACTCAAAAAATTAAATCCTCCAGAAACAATTCCTAAAATAAACAATCGCTCCATCAACAAGTAGGCTAAAGACTTAAAGAGAGATTTCTCTGAAGAGGAAATAAGAATGGCCAATAGACACATGAAGAAATGCTCAACCTTTCTAGCCATAAAAGAAATGCAAATCAAAACAACATTGAGATTCTACCTCACCCCAGTTAGAATGGCTATAATCAAGAAACCTAATAACAACAGATGCTGGAGGGGATGTAGCCAGAAGGGATCCCTACTGCATTGTTGGTGGGAGTGTAAACTTGTTCAACCACTTCAGAAAGCAAAAGATTCCACATAGAGCTTCCCTATGACCCAACAATCCCACTTTTGGGCATTTACCCAAACGATCACAAACAAGACCACACTAAAACTACCAGTACAACTATTTACCATAGGTAAGATATGGAACCAACCCAGATGTCCCTCAAGATGAATTAATCAAATATGTATAGATATAGATATAGATATATAGATATATATGAATTCTATGCCTCCACCAGAAAGAATGACACTGTCCCATTTGTTAGGAAATGGAAAGACTTGGAAAATATTATACTAAGTGAAGTGAAGTAAGCCAGACCCAAAGAAACATAGGTCCCATGGTACCCTTATTTGCAATAATTAGTATACATATAGGATAATCTTATCAGATGAGCTGAAAAGCTTGAAAACTATGTAAATATATCCATATAAGATGATGCCAAGTGAAGGTAACCCCAAGATGTGGACACAAGAGGTTTGCCTTTGTTGTTATTGTTTTAAATGTACTGTGTGGTTTTTTTTTTGTTTCCTTTGTATGTTCTTCCCCCTATAGTATATTCCCTGCTGTCACTGTACTTGATTTTGGTACCCTACATCTTGTATATACATCTGTCTAATCTGGGGAGGGGAAAGGGAATAACAAAATGCTGGAACAAGGGCACAGGATGACCCATTGCAACAAGGATACCCACAGGACAGTACATTGGAAATGAACTTTACAACTTTGGGCAGGGAGATGGGGTGGGGTAGAAAGTAGTGGGATGGGGAGGGAAGGGATAGTGGGACAATAACAAGGGAAGGAGTAACAATGGTCGACAAGTAGTGTACTCATTGCCTTACTCATGTAACTGTAACCCCTCTATACAGCATCTTTTTTTTGTTGTTGTTGGTCATGGGGCTTGAACTCTGGGCCTGGGCACTGTCCCTGAGCTCTTCAACTCAAGGCTATCACTTTACCACTTGAGCCACAGTGCCACTTCCAGTTTTCTGGTGGTTAATTGGAAATATATCTTACAGACTTCGCTGCTCAGGCTGGCTTTAAACCACGATCCTCAGATCTCAGACTCCTGAGTAGCTAGGATTACAGGCGTGAGCTACTGGAGCCTGCCTTCTATACAGCATCTTTACAGTCAAATAAAATAAAATAAAATTCCATGCAAATGTAAAAAAAAATGTTCCTATGGTAGCTTTTTCATGAAATGCCTTGTGGCATTATTCTCTATTTTTGTTGTTGTTGTTTAGTGACTCAAGGAATTTTGTGGCCTATGATGGATAGGAAGAAATCTGATTTACAGGACATACTATGAACTAGGTATTAAACATTATTTTTGTGCAATTGCATATAATCACTGAAAATTATAATTTCTGTTTATAAATCCTGTGTGCCGTAACCCACAACTGCTGAGTTTCAACTTTATTCAAGACTTGTTAGGGGTAGACTGGTTTTACATTTGCATCCTTACTTTCTTGTAGGTCTTACTATATGCATACAGGTCTATCTTTTCCAAGCTCCCAGACTAGAAACATTTACTCTCAAGCGAATACTTATTCACCAATGTGAACTCTTCTTGTGTAGCTATGCCAGCACTTGAAGGGGGCCAGGAAAAATTTCAAGTTCACTTTCTTGAGATGCCACCTCTTTCTTCTATGACCGCAGGCCACTTGCTTTCTATGTTTTGGCAATCCCTAAGGTATATGGTTGTTTTGTATTTTATTTATTTATTTTTATTTTTTTGCCTGCCTGACTTAATTACTACTTAGTAGCATTCAGATGCCTAAATTCCTTTCTAAGTTTCACTCAGTGGTGGCCGCCATCTTGTTTCTAGTCTATAGCGTCAAATCTCTCCCAATTCCTTTTTGCTAGTCAGCTTCTGTTCTCTGTATAAACTCATTTTCCTGTGGCAACTCCCACAGCACACTACTGTGGACTTTCTCTGTTTATAATTTACTACAGGACTCGTTATATTTATTTGATGGTGAAAGTTTCAATTAGATTACAGTTGGCTCATCCTCTTTAATACACACTCCCAACTACCTACTCTCTCATTACATTTACTCTTAAATATTAGTCATATATGCAGAGGGACGATAATAAAACAGATCATTCTGGGTTGGTCCAATTATATGACTCTTGAAATAGCAAGTAATTATCTAAAAGAAAAATTAAATTGAAGGGCAGTGAGAGATATTCACAACATGAACACTGTTTGGAACTGCAAAAATGTTTGAGAGAATTGAAGTTTTGAGATTAGGCCCGGGAAACAGAATAAACTTATTAAGGGTCATTTAACTAGCTAAGGAAGGCAACTCTGTTTTCCTAGCCAAAGTATACACACAGGAAGCTTTATTTCCCCCTGAGTTTTTGTTTCTACTATGACAACATAGCCATCTACATGTAAGTTCATCATATATGCATGAGTGTTATATGTACCTAAACATTCTAAAGTAGAATCTCAGCTTGAACCTACGAGCCCAATGTCAGACCTTGAGGACAATTCTCTAGTCCTTTTGCCCTGTTTCTCTAACATTAAGCATTGCATTTTCAGAGACTGGCCCAAGGTAACAAGTGGGTTTGTTTTGTTGTTATGGTGAAAATTAGAATCCACTGAGAGAGAGGAGGAAAGACAGAAGCACTGAACATAAGCCCTTTGTCTTCAAGTGGAGTTTAGCAAGCCAAGTAACTGGTTTTGTTATGTATCTACACAGAGGAGGAAACAGTAGTAGGAAGTACAGTAGTACTTCAAGCCTGTGGATGTTCGCAGCTATATGAGTCACACCAGCAGCATGGAGGACTAGAGAACTTGACGCTCTCTGAGATGCTTCAGGGGCACAGATGAGACCTCTGCATACTATATTACTCAAGTAAACCACTCTTCCTGGCATGTAGTTAGCCGAATGGATAGCAGCAGGTCACCTTGACTTCAACAATAACAGTAATCACCAACAGCAACAAAAGAGATGGAGATAAGAATGTCTTCCCCTGGAATCAGCTTCCCTCTCCCCCAGTGCTGTGAAATTTTAGGGTCAAATGGTCTAGGATGTATGATAAGGCTTTACCTCTGTCAAGACTACAAATAAGCCGGGAAGGACTGTTAGTTATCAGACAGATACACAAGGTAGGAATTCTAAATTCCTGATACATTTAGATATTGAATGAGTCCCTTCTATTGCCAAAGACTTGGGGTGGTCTTACATGTAAGATGTAAAATTAATCCATGATGTTTGGGCTGCTCCAGCCTCACTGTGGATGATATATACATCTGAGTTTAGCTCAGGTATTATTTCTTGTCCATCTTCCTAAGACTGAAATATTGGCCTCTTTTTTTCCTGCTTGTGGTGGAGTGGGGGGGGAGGGGGGAGGAAGAGCTTATACATATTCACTGCCTTCTAATTTTATGGCTCTGATCGCACCCAAAGCCTTACTTACTGTTTGGCAAGACAAACTGAGGCAGAGAACTAGTGTGGAGAAGTGGAAGTTGTGTGTCACTCACCTTTTTTTCTGGCATCATTTTCTTTCAGAATCAGGAGAATGCTTCTGGTGCTGCGCACCTGTGAATTAATTAGAAAGCAGGAGTCACAAAGCAGGTTCCACGAATAACAGAGTTTCTAGGGGGGAGCTATAAGTAGACACAGCCCCCCCAAATTAACTGCAAAAAACAAAAACAAAAAATCAATAGTCCCCTTTCCAAGTAGGTGGAGGAAGGCAGTGCCCATGATAAATATAGGTTTTTGTTTGTTTTTAAATTTTCACCCTTGGGGCATTCTTTTTGGTCTATTAATCCCTGCAGAGGGGCTTCTAAATGGCTTGTCCATGTTTAAGAAGGTGTTGTGGGAGGGACAAGTGAGCTGAGTCTCAAGGTAGAAACACACCTGGTGGGAAGGGCTATGGCCCCTTGGCAATGCTTCCTGGCAATGTTCTACAGCCCAAGCTCAGGAAAGAGCTTGTGTGTGTGTGTGTGTGTGCTCCTGCAGTTACAAGAAATTATAGCCGGCCCCATGATGAGAGGAACCAATCATGAGAGGGGGTTGGGTGTCATTGCAGGAAACAAGAGGTCATGAAAGAGGACATGCTTACAAGGGAATAGTCATTCAGAAACTAGAACTGAGACAATGGGGATCTCAGGACCTGTGCCTCTGAGCGAAGTAGGTCCTGATGCTTCATCATCAGATGGCCCAGACAACTCTGGCTCCTCTTACTCTCAATGGGTATGTTTTCACCTCTTCTCCTACCACCACTGACTTAGCACAACTTAGCTGCATTTTCTCTTTGGTTTAATTGTAGTCTACTTCCTTACCATTTTGGTTTGTCATTAAATGCAGCTGACCCATGCTACTCATGGCCTTACCACGTGCACTCTTCAAACTTGGCCCACATGACTAACAGCTGAGTTTCTATAATTCTCAACTCAATGTCCTATGAGTAGAGCTATGATTGTAGATAAGTAACTGAGATGACAGTAGATAACCCAGTGATTTTTGTGTGTGTGTGCTTATCCTAAGGCTTGAACTTAGGGCCTAGACATTGTCCCTGAGCTATTGTATTCAAGGCTAGTGCTCTACTACTTTGAGCCACACCTCCATTTTTGGCTTTTTTGGTGATTAAATGGAGACACAGCTTTCATGGACTTTCTTGCCCAAGCTGGCTTTGAGATCCTCAAATCTCAGCCTCCTGAGGAGCTAGAGGAATGAGCCACCAGCACCCAGGAACTGAGTTTAGCTTTTTATAAGAGGCACATGATAAGCTTGGACAGGTGTCTACTCAGACCAGTGTCTACTTCCAGCTAATCATTTGAAGACAGAGGTAAGAAGTGCATATCTTTAAATAGGGATACAGGTGGACCCATTGCAACAGTGAGATGTACAAGTTGTTATGTCGAAAACAAACTTTACAACTTTGGTGCGGGGGGGGGGGCGGGAAGGATTGGGGGGGGGGGGCAGGAGGAGGATGGGAAGGGATGGGAAGAGGAAACAAAGGAGGAGGCTACAATGCTTGATAAGAAATGTACTCATTATCTTGCCCATGTAATTGTAACCCCTCTGTACAGTATTTTCACAATTAAAAAAAAAAAAACAAAGAAGTGCCTATCTAAGACTGCTGTTTGACCGAGTACTCTGAAAAAAAAGGTTTCTTCAGAGAGATCCACAATCAAGTATGGTATGTATACACAATGGAATTCTATTCATCCACTAGAAAGAATGACATTGAACCATTTGTAAGGAAATGGGAAAGACTTGGGCAGGATTAAGTTAAGTGAGATAAGCCAGACCCAGAGAAGCATAGGTTGCACTATTTCATTAGTGGGAACTGAAATGTACCTATAAATCTAGAAGTACGCACACTGGCTGGCACCCAAGCAGTTATAAATGAATTAACTGAAACATAATATTATCTATGGAGTACACAATAGTATAATTCTTCAGAAAGACTAAGTCAAAGTCCAACAAAATGAGTACTAGGAAATGGGTACTTAGCAAGGGGGTGGTCAGGAGCAGAGAGGTAGAAGAATAAGTGGGAGAAGGTGGGAAATGAGTAGAATATAGGCAAGAATGCATTGCATAAGCCTCAAACTGAGGGATACAAGGGAAGGGGTGGGTGGAAGTAGGGGGAATGACACAGATGAAGATGCATTGTATATATAAAATGCTTTGTTAAATGGCAAAAGTTCAATACATAGCCTGCAAATTAAGAAAGTGAATGGAAGGGGTAGGGAGGGAGAGATTGGTGAGAATGTTAAAGGGGGTGACCTTGAGAGACACTGTATTTATAAACTGCTCTGTTGAATGGCAACTCCTTTGTACAACTACCTAAGGAAAATAAAAACAAAATAAAATAAAAAGATCGGCAAGGAAGCTGGTGCGTCAAGGACCTGTATGTGATAACAGACCAGAAGCACCAGTGGGATGTGAATAAGAAAAATGTTCACAATAATGTTGATTTCAAGCACTATACATGGGAACCAGTAGAATTTCTTGTATTTCAGCATTGGCTAACTCCGAATTTGATTTTATTTCCCAATTCTTTATGAAAAAAGAAGAACAGAAAAAGAAAAGACACTAAGAAGATGGAGGACAGCCGGCGAAAGGAGAGACAGAAAATGAGTACAAAATAATGACTGGATTTCTTTTATTCTGGGATTTTTCTGTTCTTTTCTTCCTTATTTTTTTTAAGGCTAAGGATTGACTTTTAAAATTAAGCTTCAAAATCCAAGGCAACAGATGGGTGGATCACTCTTTTATTCCAATGCTACAATTAAAATCGGAGAGAAAAATGGGGAGGCGAAAATTATTGGCAAGTTGATTGCCAAGCAACCAATCGAATTGCAAAAGGCCAAGCCAATTCACTTTTCTTAACAACAAAATAATTGGACTGTGTTTGAACTCTGTGAAATTATCTCCATTTTAAAGACACCAAATGAGTTTGATTATTCAGTAATCAATTCACTCCATAGCACTAGCATGTTCTATCAGCCAAAATAGCTGATTTGACTCCAAAAATGTCATTTCAGGGGCACTATGAAAGTACTGCCACAGGCCTCGTATGAGAATGAGCTCCAGGACTGGAATTCTAATCATTCCTTTACCCAAAGAGGCAGCTGACACAAAAGCTGGTTGAGGGATTTGCTAGGGAGTGCAATGGCAGAGAAATGGATGTTAATTGGCATTGATCTCCCTTATTGGACCACAGGGTTTTGTCATTCATTCCAAAACATTTTGCAAATGTAGTTTTAAACCTATCTACTCAGATTGAGCACAGACTTCACAGGTCAGGGGTGTCTTCTTTCACAAAAGGCTACTTGCAGGTAGCTGGGTGGCTCACACCTGTGATCCTAGCTACTCAGGAAGCTGAGATCTGAGGATCATGGCTCAAAGCCAGCCTGGGCAGGTAAATCCATGAGACTCTTATCTTCAATTAATAACTAGAAAATGGGAAATGGCACTGTGGCTCAAAGTGGTAGAGTGCTGGCCTTGAGCAAAACTGCTCAGGGACTGCACCCAGGCTTTGAGTTCAAGTCCCATGACTGACAAAAAGAAAAGTCTACTTGCTTTAGACACCAACCAAAGCTTTAGGATCCTCATGCCACCTGTAGTTCTGACCTATTGACTATTACTACCTTTTTTATGCTCATTTGTTTGCTAGAATAACTCATGGAGCTCAGCAAAGTGCTATACCTATGAGGGCAGTTTTATGACAAACAGCATCAGTCAAGTGCAGATTTTCTGCACTCTCCCCACATGGAATCAAGATATGTCACTCTCAGCACCATAATGTGTCCACCAACTAGGAGGTTCACCTGAGCCTTGTTGTCTACAGTTTCTATTAGTGTTTCATTATGTAGACAGGATTGATTGGATCATTGGTTTCTGTTGAACCTCTATCTCTAGCCTCTCTCCTGTGAGGCTGGGGTATTATCAAGAGACCCAAAGCCCCAGCCCTCTAGTAATATCTGGTCTTATTGGCATGCGAGCTTCCTGCTGAAGTAATCTAGAGATTCATCATGAGTCAAATTAGCATAAATCTAGAAGGCATTTCAGAGGATGTTTTCTTCTGGCCCCATACAGCCGGCAGTTACTCTTGTTGTCATTTCTCATAGGGAGAAGCACAATACTTAGGTAGTAGCTCTGTTTCCTCATCTGTCTCAATGTGGCTCAACCCTTCCTCTTCTCCCTACTTCCCCCTCTTCTCCTCTCAGTCTTCCCTGGTAGCACTAACATCTTTCCTCAGAGTTCCCAGATGAAACATTTGCTCTTCATTTCTGCCCTGACTTGATTTTTCCTTTAGATCATCTGTGTCCCAAGATAAATGATCATTGAATACTTATCATCAAACTCAAACCAATGGAGTCCCTTAGAAGAAAGGAGGAGGTAACAATGCTTGATAGGAAATGTGCTCATGACCTTGCTCACATAACTGTAACCCCTCTGTACTGTATTATTACAATAAAAAACGTATTTTTAAAAAAGAAATATTTGGTGAATGGTGCCTTTTCTGAGGCCTGATCTGGGCTGCTCTGGCACTTATCTCCACTATCATCATCAACAATGTGATCGACAAGAACTCCAAAGCACAGGCCGTTCTGTCTGAACCCAGCAGCAGCACCCTGTGCATTGGTTTGAAGAGCAATGCCACACTATCGCGAGGGGAGGAGAGGAGCAGCAGAGGAGCCGCAGGCCAGACAGATGAGATGCCTGAGCCTCACAGTGGGAGGAGCAGGAGAAGGGAGGAAGGATGTGAGCCTGAGCTTTCCTAAAGACTGTCAGAGAGGCCCAGCTGCTGTAGGCCAGAAACAACCAGCACAATGGCCTCCTACGGAGACTGGTCACTGGGGACAGTCAAGGCCAATGTTTGGAAACAAGGGTAGAGGAAGGATGGTTACAAGAGTGACAGCCTGGCCCTTGCCCTCTCCCCTTTCCAGACTCACAGATCATAAAGAGCACAAAACCAGAATCAGGCAGGTAGGTATCCAGTGACTGTGGCAGGCAGGGCTGTGTCAGGTGTTGTCATGGAGACAGAGATCACTACTGAGCCTCCTTCCTGACTCTGATAATGCAGTCCAGGGGGGTTTGGCATGAGGTGGACTTGGTTTCAAATCCTGGTTCTGCCAATCTTTCAGTTGTGTGCTGCTGGGTGTATTGTCTGTCCTCCCTGAGACCCATTTCCTGTGAGTACAGTGAAGATAATAATATCTTCTTATATGGTATTGTTGTTATGAGGATTAAGTGAGATAGTGTCATGTGTCACCTGGCACACAAAGACCATTTCCTTCCTCCTCCCTTATCCACTGGCTCCTGGTTCCTCTTCTCTTTCTGTGCCTAGCATCCTGTCTTTGCACATTTGGCTGAAGTTACTGCTTTATTTCATGCTGGGCTATGACCATACAGACCCCTACAGTGTCCCAAAGTGAAGATGCTAGGTAGGATGGAACTTGTCACTGCT